CAAAATATAGGGGTTCATTGGGAACTTTGTGCCAAATTGGTACTTGCCTTGGAATTATTCTGTCACTGTTTCTTGGAATACCAGCAGAGGATGATCCACATTGGTGAGAACCTTTTTCCCTCCTTTGGCCTTTGTTCAGAGCCATGGTGGTTTTGATGAGGGAAATATAATTTTCCTTTTTTCTTTCTAACTGAATTTCACATATGGATCATAAAATAAACCTTTCTACAAGGTTAGTTTCTTTGCAACCTTACGATCATAATGCTGAGGTAATTTACACATAAGTTTATAGGTTTAAGAACATAACATAGAACTGAAAGAACCTTGTCAGTTTTGCATATTGCTCAATCAGAAAGAAACCAAATCATATAATGATACTGAAACAAAGCAACCCAAATTGCAAGGTAACTTTGGGCTCTCTGACCCTAAGTTGCAGATCTAAAAACTAACAAGGATTAATGGCTTGGAGACTCTGATGATTGGTGAAAGCATGGATGGAGCAAAGAATTGGCAACACTTATTAATTAACTGGTAGTACTGTAAAGAATTTGTCTGTTAGTATATCTGACACCCTTCAAACAAGTTTCAAGGACTGGGTTCTGCTTCATCCACGCTGTTGATTATACTTACACTTCATTTGAAGAATCAGTGATGAATATGCATCATGTAAACTGGTTGTCTATAATATATGTGAATATTTCTTCATATATTGTCATTCTTACCTTCATTTTATTGGCAATTTTATTTGATGCAGTATCTTGTCTCAGATATTCTGTTTACAAACAACTGTTTGTTTGGTTTCATGGAAACTCCTAGGCAGCAAAAATGTGTGTTTATTAGTTCAATGCCTATCATCTAGGTTTCTTCTATTGTCATTTTCACCTATAGGCAATACCTGTTTGATCATATATTGTTTCAATACATTCTGTGTTCAAACAACTAAACATCTGGTTTCATGGGAACTTATAAGCATCAGAAGTACGTGCTGTATGTTAATGTGCTAATTTAATGCCTGTCATCTAGTTGAATTTTGTAGCCATATGTCAGATTTTTTAATCCAATTTTAGGTTTTCATTCTCCAACCTGCTAAAGAATCTAGCAAACTATGTTTTCTAGGTGGAGGACAATGTTCTATATAGCAAGTATCCCTGGCTTTCTTCTTTCCCTTGGTATGCAATTTGCTGTGGAAAGCCCCCGTTGGCTATGCAGAGTATGACCCTTGTTTCATTTGTTGATTCCATACTCCACATCTGTTACTTCTTGGCACTTTTTTTTTTGAAACATAGAATTTTGGCATTTCTGTAGGTAGGGAAAATAAATGATGCAGCTGCAATTATCCATAACCTTTGGGGATACTCAGAAGTTGACAAAGCAATTGAGGAATTCCAGTCGGTCATCAAGAATGATGGCAGTGATGCAGACAGCAGATGGTTGGAACTTTTAGAAGAGCCACATTCTCGAGGTTGTATCAAGGTGGTTTCTTTTTTGGATGTCATGTAACAGTTCTGATGTTTTTTTTTCCTTCAATGTGGTATTTTATCAAACAGTTGTTATTTACAACTTTTCCTTTTACATATTTTCTGCCGAAAGAACATAGAATGCTTGTTGGATAATCTCACCCAATAAAATGTGAAAAATTTTGAGGTATTCTTAAGGTGTTCCACATTGCAGTCTTAAGATTGTTGTTACGTTTGGTATTGGTTTCAAACTGTAGTTTGGCACTTTAGTTTTCATACACCTTTGTTTGGTTGCAGTTGCATTCATTGGAGGAGTCCTTTTTGTTCTTCAACAGTTTGCTGGAATAAATGGAGTTCTGTATTTTTCATCATTGACCTTTCAAGATGTTGGAATTGCTAGTGGTGCTTTGGCAAGTTTATTTGTTGGACTTACAAATTTTGTAGGTTTGAGATCTAACTTATGTATTTTATTCTTGCTTTTTAATCTCTTTGTTCTATCCTTCTTTTATTAAAACAGCCTCTCACTCTTGTGAAGTGGTTGATGTCTCCAGGTGCACTCTGCGCATCTTTCTTTATGGATACGCAAGGAAGGAAAAAGCTTCTTATAGGAAGTTACCTGGGAATGGTGAGTGAGTAAAATCCTTATTTTGAAACTAAGTTATGATTGTAAATGGTATCAATACCTGCTGCAACACTTCTTTTAAGGGAAATTGAGATAAGCATATTGTCTGAACATATAATTGCTTGTGTAGGGAATGTGCACTTTGTGTCAACAACGGACCTAAAATTTTGTTTATACCTATATTCTGATTTGATTTTACACAAATCAGAATTATAACCTGAACCCTGCAAACCCTGCCCTCAAAAAAAAAAAAAAAAGAAGGTAAAGTTAAATTTACATGATTCTCACTCATTAATAGATGAATGATCAATAACAATTTTTAACCTTTTTTTATTGGTTTTTGACTCAGCTACATGTAAAATTTAATTCTTCTTAAATAATTGAAGTTAACCTATTTTTCTTAGGTAAACAACAATTTGAAAAAGAACTACTTGCTTCTCCAATTGTAAAGTCAAAAGATTTCAAAAATATTCTTAATCAAGTAACCCTCAATTACATTTCAAAATTTCATTGGAGTTTATTCTAGTCTACTTGTAACCAGTAGTTTCCTTATTTAATAATAAAAAAAGGTACTTTCCTCAAAATTTTAAATCTTGTATAACTTGCTACTCCAATATTAAGATTCTTAACTCGAACTTGTGTAGAATTAACATGAAACTTAAACTTTTAACATGCTAGAACACCACAAATATGAAATCTTCGTACTCAACTTTGAAAATTTTTTATGTTATGGTTTTTCTTTAATATGTGTTTATTGTAGTAGATTAGTTGATATACTGCATATGGATTCATTATTTAGCATAAAAAAAAAATTAACCCTTAATATTATATAAGACTTTTGCCCCCACAAACTCAAAATCTTGGTTCTATAGTTGCTTAGTAGGGAGGCTAAATAGTGGATTTGCTCATTTTTTGGGCAAGAAGTTGCCAACATAGTTAAACAAATAACAAAACATATATATATATATATATATATAGAGAGAGAGAGAGAGAGAGAGATATATATATATATATATAGAGAGAGAGAGAGAGAGGAGGAGGGATTCACTACATCGGTATAAAACTAATTTAGTTTTACATCATTTCATGTCTTTTTCATACGATTTATATTTGGTTAATGCAACTGTTGGATTTCATGCTCTATTCATGTAGATCATGCATGCCGAATTTCAAATTAATTAAAAAATGTCTAATTATTTGTTTGATTGAATAAAATTTTGACTGTGATATGTATTATAAAAGCAAGTAGATAAGGATATTGGATTCACTTGAAATTTTACATGTGTGATTAGTATTAGTAGGTTGTTAAATCCAATGGTTGGTTTGTTAAAATATGTACCATATATGAAGTTATAGAAGGGTGTAAAACTAATTAGTTTCAGATCGGTATATATATGCGTTTATATCAAATTATAGTCTTTTCACCATGTATGCAGACATTCAGACTAAAAATTTGATAAACTTGGCCTAAAGAAGGGAGATTGACTCTGTGTATGTGTGTGTGTGTGTTTGTGTGCATGCATGCATTTGAGTACCTCAACCTGCACGTATGCAATTCAGTTCACTACACATTCTTTTGATTGACACATTGCTAATTACACTAAGCAATCAACTCTCTTTTTGCAGGCAGTTTCAATGTTTGTTATTGTTTTCGCAATCAATTTTCCATTAGATGAAGATTTCAGTCACAACTTATCTATCCTTGGAACTCTTATGTAAGAATCCTCATTATGCTCAATTTAAAACTGAAATATATTGACCTGTATAGTTTGAACACCTGTTGATTGCCCTTCTTTATGCTAAGCCTTGATGTCTTGCTTGTTAAGTGGGACCATTAATAATCTGTGTAATTATTGATACTTGCATCACTTGTTTCTGATTTAGTAATGGGTTAGGGAGGCAAATTACGTCTACAAAGCTTGACGACCCTCTAATAGTACAAGTGACTCTGGGCTAGCTCAGCTAGGCTGTTGAAAGCTAAAGAAGCATTCTTTTGTTTTTTCTTTTTTTTTGGCTTGATCTGCAAATTTGGGGCTTAAAAGCTTCAAAAGCTTACTACTTGATCTTTGAGTACTTTCCCAATGGTTAAAATGTTAATTCTTTGAATATACTTTTACTATTTAAATGTCGCAGAGAGCATGGTGAAGGGATCTCATTCTAATGGCTTTTGAAAATCCAAAATAACAGCCCATTTATGTCCTTTCCTTCAAAATACTTTCTTGTAGGTACATATTCACCTTTGCAATTGGAGCAGGCCCGGTAACTGGTCTCATTATTCCAGAACTTAGCAGCAACAGGACACGTGGAAAGATAATGGGGTTTAGTTTCTCTGTTCATTGGGTATGTGATTTGTATTTATGTTCAGTGTCTTTAGATTGGCCATACTTTCAAGTAATTTTGCAACTTGTGTTAATTATTAGTATTACCTACAGTCGAACTAGGAAGTCAGTGGAGGTATATTGCTTGTAACCACTACTGGCTTCCAATTATTTGATGTTAGTTCATTGCTCTAGTATATTACTTTTGTTTCTTGATGCTCCAGTTCAGGGCAATGGAAACATCTCTTACCACGCTGCACTTTCTTGTTGATATAGGTTTGTAATTTCTTGGTGGGGCTGTTCTTCCTTGACTTAGTGGAGATATTTGGAGTTGCTTCAGTTTATGCTGGTTTTGGCAGTGTGTCCTTGCTGTCAGCAGTTTTTGCTTATTACTTTATAGTTGAAACAAAAGGACGATCTCTTGAAGAAATTGAGCTGTCACTGAACTCTAACTTCCCACCTAAAAGGTAAGTGACTAATTCTGATTCAATCTCTAGGAAAACGATGCACGGTGAAGTGCAGCGTTGAGCTTGATTGTGTATCGCTTTGATGGGGCAATCACGCTAGCTCTTCAATTGAGGGAAACGACCAACGTCGCAGAATTGCAGTCTTATAGTTAACATTGCCCAGGTAGGGGGATGACATGCAGATGACATTTATCCAATATATCCCATTTCATTAATTTTTGTGCTTTGCTATATCTCTCTCTATTATGTGTATTGCTTTGATTAATTTTCAGTAAAATGTTTTTGAATTAAATGCTGTAATATTATTTTTTTAATATTTTAATTGATAAACTTTTATATATATTAAATGCTCTAATGTTTTCTTTTAATTATAGTTTTAACAATCATATTTATTGTAATCATATTCTCAACAATCACATTCAAATTATATATCCAAATTAGATTATTCATGTTTCATTCTTGATTTTAGATTTGTATTTAAATCCTTCAGGCATGCAAAAACAAAATTTTTACCAGTTTGTAGGATGAGAACAAGGTTTGACGGGATCTGGTAACGGAGATTAATCAACAATCCCATAAGCAAATACACATTATTGATTTAAAGGTAAATGCTCAGATGATTCACATTTTGGCGCGACCTCCTCAAGAAATGAGGAATTTTTTCTGTTTGCAATCCGAATCATAGTTGGCATTTGTAAGTACATATTCTGAGGCCACCAAACCCAACCGTTCAGTCCCTCAATCTCCTTGATTATCAAATCGAACGGCTGCTATCAACAGCATCGAGTGTCAGTTAGGGGTCCCATGCTCATTGCAGTTCCTGCCAAGTGTACACACCAACTTGACCGTTGACACGTTATTTTTACCAACGAACTGCCAAAATCATTAGCCATTTTTTCCTCATTTTCCCTTTATGCAAAAGTAACGCACCTTCATTGTCGCCGGAACTGAACTTTATACATTCTCTTTCAATTAGTTATATTCCACAGTAAGGAACCTTTAGGATTTCTTTTTTTTTTTTTTTGTATGTGCGATGATGGCGGCTTCAGCGAATATGAACGGTGGGAATCATACGGTGGAACTGATCGTGCGTGGCGCCTCAGAATCAGCGGCTGATGGTGGCTCAGCTACATCGGCGTCGGAGGAGATAACTCCTCTCTTGACTCAGAGCGAGCGGCCGAAGATCAACATCTTCTCGGTCTATCGTTCCCGAAGAAAACCTAGAGTAAGTAAAGCAAAGCTTTAATTCTATTTTTACATTTTTTTCTATTGTAAAATTATTAATTGCTCAATCTTTAGTTTGTACTTTAATTTACTTTTTCTTGTTTATTAGAAGCCGATTGGATTTGAAATTTGATTGTTTGGCTTGATTATCGAATTATTTTGCTTTTCATTTTTACATATATATTGAAGATCACATGACTTTGTTTGGCCACATTTGGTTGTCGAATATTAGTAGAGTAAATAGAGTAGCCAAATCAATACCAAAAAGAATCCAAAAAAGTGAAAAGCAAATAGTAAAAGCTGCAATCAAACACAGGATTAACTTTTTTCTCTTCACTATTTAATTTTTGTAGAAAGAAATGGAGAATGGTGCATGCAATTAAGCGGCTTTTCTTAACTCAGATTTTATTGGCAAAATATGAACAATTTGATATAGATTTGAAGCAATGGAAAATTAAATGTAGAAGTAGAAATCATGGTGCCATTAAACAACAACGCTCCTCAAATTAGATTCCGTTTGGTTAGTACTTTTGCTATTTGCTTTTCACTACTCATTTTTTATTTTTTTTCTTTTAGCTTTCTCTTGATTTTTTGCAAAAAGAACAAAAAGCAAATAGTAAAAGCATCAACCTAACAGAGTCTTTAAGTTTGTCTAGTTGATTGAAATTCACGGTTAACCATGTTGCTTATGCTAAACCAACACTAATATTTGCTTACCAAGAATGTAAAAGGTAATGTTGAAGTCTTTCAGTTTATGAACTTAATTTAGCTAACGTGGTTTGAGGTGTTTGCAGGAGCAAGTGATAAAAGTATCAGAAACTGAGATATCTCCAGTTTCACAGTTTGTTTTGTGGGTATGGAATGGTTCCAGTTACTCTGGTCTAATATGCATGACCTTATCATCTGTAACCTACTTTATCATGGAAGTTCTTTCAGATAATTTCACTGGTTAGTAAGTTTCTGCTCCTCTATGGTGGAAGCCAAGTTACAGGGAATATCATATATGTTGCTTCATATGTAAATTAGTCCCTTTTCTGTTTGCTTGGTTCATTGGAAGGAATAGAATGGGAATAGAATAGGGGAAGAATAACTATTATGTAGATTGGTTCATGGGAATGGAATAGGATAGAAATCGCTATTATTACTTATTCCATTGTTTGGTTGGCAGGAATAATTTTAAGAATAGTTAAAGAATAATGGGTAAATGATAAAAATACCCCTTATTAAAATTTAAAGATTTTTTAATTAAAAAATGAAAATACTATGATGAGAAAAAAATGCTCATTATTAAAATTAAAGAATTTATTTTGTTAAAAGATAAAAATATTCTAAGTAATAAAATCAAAATAACTTTTACTATAATTAATAATATTTTCATCAAAATACAAATATATTTTTATTATAATTTAATAATATTTTGTATTAGAAGATAATTAAACCTTTTATTGTAATTAAATAATATTTAATATTAAAAGACAAAATATATTTTTCATTAAATTTAAATAATACTAAATAATATTCTTTATTACATTTATTATATTCAAATAATAATATTAAATAATAGTCATTATAATATTTATTATAGTTAAATAATATTAATATATTAAATAATATTTAAATATTTTTATTTCTTTTTTTTTATATGAAGTAAAAAATTTTGTGTCTTCTGTGCTTTAGAGAGAGGAGTGAGGAAGAAGATAAAAAAATAGGTTTAGTATTTTTTTATAAGGTAAGTTTTTAAATTGTAAAAGGGTATATTTGTCTAATCAGTTTTTTTTTCTTGTTCCCAACAATTTGGAATATAGCCATTACCAAAGGGGGCCTTGGTAATGGCTATTCAGGCTTCTCTTGGAATGGTTATTCCGAAGAATAGCTATTCCATTGAACCAAATGAAGCTGTATCTCAAGAATGAGAATAGAGGAGGAATGGCTATTCCATTCCCTCCAACCAAGCATGCCCTTATAAATTATCTTTGCTTCTCCCCATGAAAGTTCTGATGAAATGACACTTTAAACATAATCCTAGTTAGTCTCAATAGTCTGGGATATAATAAGCCAGCTAGTCATAAGTTCTAAATAGCATAAATTAAGTCTTAAATTTTAATTACCTAAAAGAAGCTTCTAAATCTAAATCGAATTAAGATATAGGTAAGTCGTAAACATCAATAAGTCTTTTGTTATTTTTGCATAGATATATGCAATATTGATGTTATTATTGGTGCTGCACTCTTGTATTTTTAAGTTTTTTATGAATCTAAATCAAATGAAGATATAGATAAGTCGTAAACATCAGTAAGTCTTTTTGTTATTGATGCATAGATATGTGCAATATTGATGTTATTATTGGTGCTGCACCTCTTTTATTTTTAAGTTTTTTATGCCTTCCCTTTCTTTAGTAGTTTCTGACATCTATTTTTTGATGATTTTAAATTATTGGTGACACAAGATGGTTTTACATAAAGTTTTCATTGATTTAATTATCCTTTTTTTTTTTATGGTTTTATGACGGCAGCTCAGTCAATTCCCTTATTTGAGACTGCATTTGCAAGATGCACTGTTACCGTGATACTATCATATATATGGTTGAGAAGAAGTGGGCAGCCAATTTTTGGAGCAACACAGCCCAGGAATCTTTTAGTTTTAAGAGCCCTAGTGGGATATCTCTCATTATTAAGTTTTATCTATTGGTAAGTTTCACTTAACAGTTTGAGGAAAAAAAAAAAGTTTCACTTAACATGCTTGCTTTTCAGGCTTTTTTAGGGTTTGCTTGCGTTGGTGACCCCTTTCCTCCTCTTTTTCTGAATCAGAGAAAAAATAACAAAGGAAGAAAAGAAATATTTGCATCATTTTGGACTACTCCCACTTTATCTGTTTGGAATTTTCATACAGCATTTTCATCTTGCTAAAGTTATAAAGCTTCTTTTGCTAGATTATACGGACAATAAAGTTGCTCAAGTGATGGTAGGCATTGTAGAACATTTTTTTTTTTTTGGGAGGGGGTGGTGGGTGTGGTTGGTGGTGGTGACTGTGACTGCATGCATGTCTGCCTTCTCATATCAAGTTGTTGAGAGTTCTACATTCTTTGCAATGTCCAATGAAGGCTCTATCACTCTTATGGCTGCAGTTCCCGTAGTTTCTATATAAACTAATCGAACTATTGACCTAGATGAAATTGGTAAATTAGATCATCAGGTTGGCATAGGACATAAATTGTTACCAAGGTAAACATAAATTAATCTTTTTTCCAGGATAATGCACTGTTGATAGTGGCTTAAACAATATGAATACTTTCGCCTTTCAACTCGCAACCTTTTTCTTGTCCTAGTCAAATTTCAGTATAATGCTCCACCATTGTTGGAGTGCTCTTTGCTATGGCTTGTAAGCTTTATCCTCATGACCATAACTTAGATAATCCTGAAGTAATAATTGTTTGGCTCAATTTTGTTTTCAGCATTCAACGAATGCCTTTTTCTCAGGCTATTGTGTTAAGCTTTACAACTCCAATAGTGGCTTCAATCATGGCTAGAATTATTTTGCAAGAGACGCTGAAAATTGCAGAAATTGGAGGTCTGCTAATGTTTTTGTACTTTCTGTCTTGACTTATGGTATAAATTTGAGCTGCCTTACCATAGGAGTGTGATTGCTTTATCTATTATTTTCCCTTTCCAGGTCTTGCTTGCAGTTTCTTTGGCATGCTTTTCATTTTTCAGCAGATGCTTACTACACAAGGTACAGAAGTGAGTTAACAGAACCTTCTCTAATGTGCTCAGAAAGAATGCCTTGGATATGTTAAAGGTTTAATGCTAATGCATGATTTTTATGGTTCCCATGCTTATGCTTTCCTGCAATCCCTTCAGTAACGTCACTTCTCTTCTATTTTGTCTCTTTCTGCATGCTTGCTGCTTTATATCTGTGTGTCAGTCTCTAGTTGTTAAAAATAATAAAATTGAGAATTTTATCCTTTTGATCATAAAATTCTTTCTCTTATACAAACTGAATGTCCATTTCGTTTCAAGTCCCACATTGAAAATGTGTTTTTTATTTAGTTCTTTTTTAAGTTATTAATTTTCATTTTATAAACAAGTTTTTAATTCTTTTATACAGTCTTTAGTTAATTTAAGTTCGGTTTTAAATTTCAAGATTAAGAGTTTAGAGTCCTCGTTCTGGTCTGATATGAAAGGTAGTCTATGCATCTATCGATTATTATAGTTTGAAAACTATTGGAGAGCTGTTAAGGAGTTGAGTTTTGTGGATCATTTAGTTCTTTCTGGTCTTTCCTTTTTTTTGGATATAAAAAAAAGACAAAAAATTACTATTTATAGATTTATTTTCCCTTTTATTATTTTAGATTTTTGTTCTCAATTTAAGTTCGTAGCTAGTAGTGATTCTTCTCTTTTTTAACACCAAAAATTCCAAACCTTGAAACCCAAAATTCACAACTTCACTGTTCTCAAGTTACTGTTCAGTTCTTAGAAGTTTCAGCCCTTTCTTGCCTTATTCAGAGCCTTAAATTCTAGACTTTTCAGTGCCAGCCAATTCCATTAACTAACCAAACCATCAGAGCCCTCAAAACTGTCTTCTTACTGCTGCCTGAAAATTCCATCTTATCTGCCTTCCCTCCAAACTTCAACTTTTTGTTATCATAATTACTTTGTAAATGCATTCTGCTTTCTAAACCCTAATGCCATTTGTTATAAAGAACCATCATAAACCACAACAAAGCAGTTTGAGGCAATTATTTAAATCCATCCTAAAACATAAATTAATTTTTCCATAGAGGTAACTCAACATTTTCTGATTTTGTTTATGTATTTATTTGCTTTTTCTTTCATAAAAATATTGTGATTGCAGAGTTTTTGTTTTCTTTTTTCGTTTGAAAGTTATTGCAGAGTTGTTATTGAGGAGTACAATGCTTTTCTTTGTTTGTTTTTCTATAGAGGTTTAATATAAATACGCACATTTCCTTCTGGTGGCTGGCGTGGTGGACATGTGTTTTCTACTTCTCTTTTAATGAATTCTGGCAAAGCTATACCTGTTCAATTGCTTTATGGTAAACTCATGAATGCTTGCATGAGGAATGGGAATGAACAAAATCATGTCCTTCAGTTTTACTTGCTTTTCTTGACTTGTGGAATTATTTATATTTTTTCCTGTAACTGTGCATTACTGGTAGCAAACCTATTACTGCGGGTCTTTTCACCCTTCCTGGGATGTGGCAGGAGGGCTACTCAAAGCTGAGGACGCAAGCAATATCAATTTGAGAGGAAGTCAACATATGTATGCAGTCTTGATTGGTTTATTTTCGTCTATATCTGGTGGAATCTGCTACTGTCTTATAAAGGCTGCTGCTAAGGCATCAGATCAACCCGTGTAAGGTTTTTTTTTCCTTTTAGAACTAGAATGGAAGCCTTTGAAATTTTCACCTTCTGCAATTCTTGCTATATTTGTATGTTGCTTTATGCTTGCTGTCAAACTTGCTCCTGACTATTGCCATAATCTTTATTCCAATATTTATGTTCACATCTTTATGATGATATCTACCCTCATTTTATCTGTCATGCTATTGATGCTTGAAGCAAATACTCCTTTCTAGGGTGACAGTTCTTTCATTTGGCATACTGGCCAGCCCTGCTGCAGGAATATGCACATTTGCCTTTGAGGTGAGTGCATAAAATGATCAATTTGTAAATGTTTAGAGAGACATTTTGTACATGTAAGTAATTAAAGTTTTGACCAGAGCTGATCTAATGTCATAAAGCACCATTTTCTTATGCATAACTGTTCCACTTATTATTTCCACTTCAATTGATTAAGATATAAGCTAAAAATTTTGGCTGCTGCCTGGTTTTGACTGCCAAATATTGAAGCTGCAGCAATGCATAAATGGACATTTATATTTGCCCTAATCTGCTTCCATGGGGACAGACATGCTCCAATTTGCAGATTGGGACTTCTAGTGCTTATCTGCTGCAAACTTTTGGACTTCACTTTATAACTCTTTGGATTGCATCTTTTAAGCCATGGAGTATGGCCTAACCATTACGTTTTTAAAAATGTTGTATATAAAGAAATAGATAACTTACGAACTAGGACCTGGCACCCTACTTTCTAGTTGACAATTCTAATGACCAAACCAAATATGTCGTTTGCTGATGTCGTTTGGGGTGACGCATTGTGCTGTCAAGTTATGTTTGACCAACTAATCAATTCTGCTAGGCCTTATTATCTCATATGTTTTATGAGAAGGTAATTCGTGTTGATGAATTATGTTGTTCGTTTTACATATTAGTTCACTTAAGGATGATGTATTAGCTAATTAGTTCTTCTTGGTTTTAGTTAATTATCAAATTTGTAAAAGTATTATAATTACATGATTTGTTAAAACCTAAAATTCACCTCTTCGTTATATATGACGATCTTAAGAATGAAAACTTTGGAAGGATTATCCATCAAATTATGAATTGTTTTTGGTAGCTATGTACTAACATATGTATAAGATGGTGTACTTGATGAGGATGCTAAAATGGATGTGAGTATAGAGTGAAGGATAAGTTTAGAAATGAATATATTCTGGGAAAGGTAGGAATGGTAACAATTTAAGACAAAATGAGGGAAATAGGTTGAGGTGGTAAAGGTTTGACCATGTGAGGCTACAGCCTACAAGTCTTCAAATAAGAAGATATGACTTTCTTAGAATTCCCACATCAAAATAAAGGGAAGACCAAAGAAGACATGGGTGAAAAGTATTGAAAAGAGGCTGTGCATCTACTAAGCTTATTGAGGATATGGCCATAAACATAGCACAATGGCATAATGTGATCCATGTGGTTTTGTTGTTGTTATGCACTTTGCAAATCAACCACCTTGTATAACTCTCAAAAAGTTTTACAATCATTTAGTGCAATTCTGGTTTTAACTTAAAGCATAGAAATCATTATTTTGAATATGGTTTATATTTGTTGCACTTCTTGGTATTCAAGGGTATAGAGCATTTCTTGACAGAACTCTGCATGAACATTGCAGGAGTTTGTGGTGCCAGGTTTCTATTCGTTATCTCTGATGATTGCCCTTGGTACTCTGTCCTTCTTAGCTGAGGTTTGACTCTCAACTATAGTATGCTTTTCCACTTTAACAATCAATAATAACTATTGCACCGACAATATTGTAAAAAGTAAAACTGAACTTTTATCTGACCTATTTTGCTATCACAATAATGATAATAACTAGTGTACTGAGGCATAGTTCTTTATAATTTTATGGCAATGCTTTAGTTCTATATATGTCTGAGCACGTTCTGCCACAGGTGCTTTTAGCACGTGGACTTCAGCTTGAGAAAATCAGCAAAGTTGCAAATGTCCAGTTTATTGAGGTATCTCTCTCTCTCAGTTGCACTTTTGGGTATTTCTTTTGATGAGGTTGTTGGATCTTGAGTTTGAGTAAGTTCAAGCTGGAGGAAACTCCTTACAGTAAAAATTGAAGCTGAAGGCACTAATGCTAACAATGCTTTTGGAGTCGTTGGTAGGAGAATATAAGAGACATGATAGAATATAAGGAGAGGAGCGTGAAATCTAATTCCTCTAATTGTCTGGATTGGAGGAATGTAGTAAGGAAAAAAATAAAAGATAATTTCCATCAGGATGAGGATACTTAAATTATTATAAAGAATGTTCTGGAGAAAGGAAAAGGCTTGTGTTTTGACTTTGTGAATTGTGAACGCAAAGCATGGGACCAGTAGTAAAGGAGAAATAAATTTCACTTGTCTGAAGAAGAAATTCAAATGGTTTGATCTTGGTACAATTTTAGTTAGTCATTGTCCAGTCTCAGTTGCTGTTAACTTGTTAAACATTGTCTAGTAATTGCTTTGGGTATCCACTAATCATATTGAGTTGGGTTTTTGATTTGTGTTTCAGGCTGCCTTGTCACAGTTATGGGGCATAAGCACATCAAGAGTCGCTCCTTCTTTTGGTCGACTTGTTGGGTGTCTACTTATATTAATCTCGGTGTCTTGTACTCTGTTTCTTGGACCCCAAAAAGAGACTGAATGAGAAATACTACATTCTTTTTCTTTAGCACCCCGTATTTTGTGTTCAACATGTTTTTCCATAAAATTTTTTAATTGTATTTAGTAGCTTTTGCTTTCATCTTATCGCATGATGGCACATTCATTTAAAGCAACCTAAAGCACATCGTATTCAAAAAAATTATCTTTTTTATTTAACTGTATATTGGTTATTATTGGTTGAGAGAACTTTTTTTTTATTCAAAAAGTTAATTTAATGAGACATTAAAAAATTTTTATTCGATCAATTCAACCACGTTAGTATATAAGACATTAAAAAATTAATTTTAAATATTATCTCAGGTTTAGTGATATCTAAAAAATATATTTGAGTTTATATATTTATTATTTTATTTTAAAACAAATAAAAAACTATAACCATGAAAAATCTAAATTTTGTTTTTTTCCTTTTGTGGGAAAGGCAAAATCTTATACTTGTCGGTAAATTACATAATCTATACTGCAAGAAAGATATCATCTTAGAATTTAAACGGGTTCTTATTTACTAAAATGTAAAATCCATTGGGAAAACAACCTTTTGATGAATAGATAGTACCAAACGGTTTGTAGAAAAAAAAAAAAGAGTCAAGTACTCACTTTTTAACTTAGAACTGTGGAAATGGGGTACAAAAAGAGTTGACAAATGCTTAAAAGTTTTCCCGAAGCTGCGTGAATCGTGAAGTAAAAAGAAAGTGAAATATCCTTGATAATGATATTAAGAATAGAATAAAAAATTTAAAAATATATATAATTATTTTGAATATATATATGTGTGAATGTTTATTATGTTATAATTTAAAAATTTAGACCAAATCAATCAATGTAACAAATCAAATACAAAAATTGTAATATGATTTGAACTTTTAAATTTAATTATGTATATTTAAATTTGAATATAGATTAAATTAAATTAAGATTAAGATTTAATGAGTTATTAGTCTATCAATATACCTTTCACTTCATTTCTAAATACATATTTTCGAATAAGATTTTTTTATTTTATTAATATTTTTTTATTTATTCTTTTAGTTTATATTTCATAATCTGGTATCAATATGATTTTCTTATCACTCAAGTTTTAGTGTTATTTAATATAATTTGCATCATCATCTCAAAATCAAAATCCCAATTCTTTCAAGTGTCAAAAGAATTTCAATGATTAGGTTTTTTTTTTTTTGATTTTAACGAAATAGGTAACTGACTTGATATTTTTTTAATATTTTCAACTTTGAAAATTAATTTTAATGTAAATTTGTTATCATGCAGTATGTATTACGTTGTTCCCTTGATTTATTAAATCGAGTTGAATATGCAAATATATATAATTATATATGATTTCTTTATTCTAGTATTGGAATATTATTTGCTCAATATATGACTTATTTTTGACTAAATGCTCAATTTGAGATCAAAACTTTTGGGTTTTTATCAATTTAGGGTTAAAGTTTCAATTCTAACAATGAAAGAACAAATGTTTTCAGTTTCTTACAATTAAGGGTTAAGGTAAAAGATGTCTAATGCGTGTAAAATATGTGTATAACGTGAACATTGACTTGTTGTGTAAGATATTAAAGGATAGTTTTGTTATAAAGTCTTTTTTGTTAAGTCAAAACGGTTCAAATTATGGTATAGAGTATAACAATTTTTTTATCATATGCGTGTAATAACTAAATTTTTAATATAGTATGCAATAATTATATTTTTTAACATGACGTATAATAATTATATTTTTCAATATGACGTATAACAAATAAATTTTGAACATAGTATGCAACAATTACATTTTTTAACATGACATATGATGACTAAATTTTTTAATATGACATGTAATAATTAAATTTTTAACATAATGTGTAACGATTATATTTTTCAACATGACATATAACAATTAAATTTTCAACATTATTTGTAACAACTACATTTTCAACATGACGTATAATAATTATTTCCAACATAGTGTATAACATCTAAATTTTAAAACATAACATAGCATGTAACATTATATTTTTCAACATAATGTTAATAATTTTTTTTCAAAAAAAAAAAGAAAAATTAAAGCAACATTCAAGAAAAAGGAGACACAAAGAGCACGCAACGATCATATTCTACAATTCAATCAAAAGTTGCCTCCAGAAAAAACAAAGTTCTCTTACCCAAGTAAAAAAGGAAAATTCCCAATAAACACTCCCTACCCCACCGCCCAAATTAATTCTCCCAAAAACACCCACAATCCATTAACCCGAAAAAAAAAAAAAAAAAACCTTCAAGTTTGTCCTTGCTGTCAAGCTCTTGTGTTAGGTAGGATCGAGAGTCTCTTGTGTTTGTTTTGTCTAATGAGGGACGATTGCCTTCATTAAGCAACTTTCCCTTTCCTTTTTGATTGGTTTTTTTTTTGCAAAACGATCTTCAGCTAATGGCGTCTTTAGCAATTTCAGCTTGGCCTAATATTGGCATATCAATTATGAGGATATAAAATTTACTTTTTTAAAAAAATATTTCAACATGCTATGTCATTAGCTCACATAATTTTCTATTGCGTGTAATACATGTCTATTCACTTTCAACTTTACTTTTCAACTTACCTTAATTTAAGAAATTGAAAACGTTTGACCTTTGATTGGTATTACATTGGAAACACTGACCCTTAATTGAAAAAGCGCCCAAATGTTTAGTCTTAATTTAAGCATTTAGCCTTTAGGTTTTGAATTTTGACTATGAGTTTGCTCAACATATATAAATTTATGTTTGACATTATGAGATTTTGCATAAGACATTTTTTAATTGAATATATGAAATTGACTTTGTATGATATCTAACTTTATATGACATCTATTTTGTAACAAGTGAAAAATACTATAGTTTGGTTAATCTGAAAATACATTTTGTCTTGGATTTCATGTCTTTTTGTGATTGAGTAATATAACTAGCTACTAATGAAAAATCATGAACTTCTGAAATAAGTAGATGCGACATCATTTAATAATTATGATCATGGACGAGAAAAAAGTCATTATAATTATTGCAATTATAATGGTTACACTAATCACTATTCTCGAAAGTGAATGGATACTTTTACTTACTAGAAGTGGATGGATATTTTTACTTACTAAATATGAATGGATAACTAGAAGTGAATTGATACATTTATCGGCTAGAAGTGGATGGATATCTTCACCTACTAAAAGTGAATAGATAACCAGAAGTGGATGGATACATTTACTTACCAGAAATGGATAAATACATATGTGTAAGAAGTGAAGAGATATAAGAAAAAGATAAAAATGGATAGAATAAAAAGAATATAGAAAATATCTATCATCGATGTGGCAGAAAGGCCATTGGTCTTGTGCGTATCGTACGTCGAAATATCTTGTTGAACTTTATCAAGCATTACTAAAAGCTAAAAGAAAAAAATATTGAAACAAATTTGGTTCAGGATAATTTTAACCATGGCCAAGTTGATATAATACATCTAGATGTTGTTTTTTTTTATCGACCTTAGAGGAAGAATTCATCATGTGATTACTGATGAAAATATAAAAGAATAAAATTTCTTATATAATTTATTGGTATGTTTTAGTATAATTTTATCATACAGATGTTTTTATATATTTTTATTATATTTAAATGATATATTTTTCTTATGTGTTTTATAGTAAATAATATATCTAATGTTATCTTATGTTAACTTATAAGTTCCTAACTATATATGTCTCTTATTTTATTGAAGAAAAATATAGATATTCATCTGGATTGTATTACGTAGATATTAGAATGATTGAAATTCATGCTATAATAAATCATAAGTTTACTAATAATTTTAATATTTGGTATAACCGGTTGAGCCATCTCGAATCAATAATGATGCAAAAAATGATTGAAAATTCTTGTGTTCATCTATTGAAAAACTATAAGGTTTTTAAATTTAATGAATTTTCATGTGTTGTTTGCTTTTGAGGAAAATAATTATAAAGCCATCACCAGCTAAACTTGAGATTGAATTCTCCATATTTTTTAAACATATTCAATGTGATATATGTGGACCCATATATCTACCTTGTGGACTGTTTAGATATTTTATGATTTTAATTAATGCATCGACTAGATAGTTACATGTGTGCTTATTATTAAGTTGCAATCTGACATTTAGAAGATTACTCGTCTAAATCAATCGTTTATGAGTATATTTTCCTGATTATGTAATCAAGATTATTTTTTTTTTAGGATACTAATGAATTTACATCTCAAGTTTTTAATAAATATTGCATATTAGTTAAAATAATTGTTAAACAGCCTGTTGCTATGCTTATACACAAATTGGTCTATCAGAATCATTTATTAAACACTTTCAACTAATTTTAAAACTATTACTTATGAAATCTAAACTCTCAATTTTTGCTTAGGAGTATGCCATTTTGCATGTAACAACATTTGTACGCATTAGGCCAATGAGTTATCATAAATTTTCCCTTTATACAATTGGTTTATAGTTAAAAACCAAATATTTCTCATATAAGAATTTTTAGATATACAGTATATGTCCCAACTGGTCCACCACAATGCACAAAAATATATTCTTAAAAAAGGTTAGGAATATATGTTGGATATGAATCTCCATCTATAATTAAATATCTAAAACCATTAACAGGAGATTTATTCACGATAATGTTTGTCAATTGTTATTTTGATGAAATAGTTTTTCCAATATTAGAGGGAGAAAATAAATAGCTAGGAAAAATTTTTTCTTGAAATGCACTATCATTGTCGAGTTTTGATTATCACATAAAACAATGTGAACTTAAAATTCAAAAGATAATTCATTTGTAAAATATAGCAAATCAGTTACCAAACATATTTACTGACTTAAATAGAATAAGTAAATCTTCTATACTAGCTATAAAAGCTCAATTAAAATTGATGTCCTTATAGGACAAGATACGCTAGAAACATGAGAAATTAATCGGTTTCAGAGATAAAATTCTTGAAAAAAAGAAGAAGCAGATATACAAGATGATCAGAAAAAGGAAACTAAAACTCTAGAAGAAACCTGTAACATAATTGATAAAATTTTAAAAGAAATTC